TTTTTTTATACCGAACAGCTGAGCAGGCAGCAGCCTAAATACAGGGTGCGGCAGAGAGGACGGACGTTTTTGGGATGGGTAGTACTCTCCGCCTCCGTCTACGAGAGAGGTGAGGAGGGTGCCGTTTGACTCTTGAGATCCTAGCATTATTGTACCAGTTGTTATGGAGCCTTGGACGGTGGAGCACCGCGTTTTCGCCTATGATTGTTTCGTCCGAAATTATGAGTCAGACATCGTCGTACAGCGTGAGTTTCGTCGCCACTTCAACATTCATCGGAATAGAGCTGTTCCCTCTCGAAACACCATCCTTCGTTGGGTTGAATCACTTCGCAGGCGTGGTGAACTGATCAACAGAAGACCAAGAGGAGCGCCGCGAACAGTTTGAACTCCTGAAAATGTTGAACGCGTTCGACAGGTCTTTCTTCGCAGTCCGACTCAATCTGCCCGGAAACATGCTGCTGCACTTCGCCTTAGTGATCGTTCGGTAAGGCGAATTTTGCATATGGATCTCCGCGAAATTCGCGTGGAAGTCGCCCAAGTTGAGAGAGCGATGTTGGAGAGAGTCTACGCAAACTTCCAAGAACGCCTCCAGCACTGCATCAACGATTTCGGCCACCACATGCCTGATATGATTTTCCACACTTGACTGTCTCAAATGCTATTTCCTTGTGAACCTGATTCCATCAATAAATTTGTTTTCGAGTAAAAATTAACAAATTTATGATTTATTTAAAACCTTCCATCCTCTCTGCCGCACCCTGTACCAGGACACGAATAATAATAAAGAATGAAGAAAGCCAGAAATTCCACACAACGAATTTTCCGTTTTATATCCATGCCATGAGTAGTGAAAAATTATATAAATACATGAAATATTTAGGGTACCTATACTTAAAGGACTTCCTTAGTCATACAGATGAGGAGCATCGAGTCAATGGTTTTGGTAGAAAACAAGAAAACTTAAATGATTTTGGGCAAAGCTTCAGAGTACATCATTTTTGTAGTATTTTATTTAAAATTTGGTATTTGGGTGCATAGAGCACATAGATATGAAAACAAATCCTGGTACACGACGTCGAGTAAAAATAAAATAAGTTGCTTATGTTGTCTTTGCAAAGAACGTAAAAAGCATTTTTTAAAAATGTGTCCCACTTGGTTTTTGACGTTAGAAGAGATCTAACAAACAGAAAAATTGCCAAGGATACCAACCACGTAAAATCCTTGTTACTATAGACAAGGTTTTGCTAAAATTGAACGAGCTTTAGAAGAGATCTAGACAAACAGAAAAATTTGGCAAGGATACCAACCACGTAAAATCCTTGTTACTATAGACAAGGTTTTGCTAAAATTGAAGGGGCTTTAGAAGAGATCTAGACAAACAGAAAAATACCTCGACAGTTTGGGACACAGGGTATATTTAACGGCACGGGTGTCACGTATCTTGAAAAGTGACATTATGCCGATTTGTTTGACATTATGCTGGCTTTTTTGACATTATGTAGGTTTTTCTACAAGATATTAACTTAGCACTTAGTTCTACGTGTTGCCTAAACGTCATGAGGTATCAATCTTTGGCTCTGATGTGATGTAAAATCTGCTTCTGATATGGCATTACTAGAGGTCTAAGCTGTAAGTTGTATGTGTTGATGATAATTACATTGGGTTCTTGTCTCAAATACATTTAATTGAGATTCAAAGCTAGAAATTAAATTAAAAATTAGTTGCGCATCCACTTTTTCTTATCCATTCTGGAAATTACATATAAAATTTTGCTGAATTTCAAAAATGAGAGAGATAAGAAATAATTATATTCACTGTACACTGTCGAATTACAAGCCATATACATGCTAACAGTAATTACACACAAAGCGGGCGCGGTGATGATTTCCCGTAATTCTCCTCAGTTTTTCGTAATTGATAACTTTGAACATAACCTCTCTTCAGAAAGCACAACATAAAAATAACCCGTCGGGCACAGCCAATAGATATACTTCATTGGCAGCATATTCAGTAATGATTTTCTCACACAGCAAATATCACTGATTTTATACACATGCAGACCAATACACATAATCATCCAGATGCTATTCAACCAACTTTCTTCTCAGAGATAAAAACTACAGACAAGGACCATTTGACCTCACAAAACATATGCAACCAATAATGCGTGTAGTTTAGTTGAGTGATTCCTCCTTAGGTGGACGTTCACAACGATCCTAGAGCAAACGTGGAATCACTGTTTGCGCCCTAAAAACTACCTAGTTTGCAAGATGACACCTTATAGGTTTTTTTGACGTTTTATAGGTTTTTTACATGATACCTATGTGGCAGGGGCGTAGCTATCCTACGGCAAACCGGGGTAGTGCCCCGGGGCCCCGGCTTAAAGAGGGCCCCGGCCATGCGCCTCAAAAAAATTGTTTTAAGCGCCGATCAGCAATAAATTCATTAAGTGCTAATATAAATATTACTTAATGGCTCGCTTTTGATTTGTGCGTAATTTTGTTTGTAAATGTTCATTTTTTGTCCATTACCTTGCTGAGTAAAGGCGCCCGCAAAATTTCCGTAACGTAAGACTTAAGACTTAAGTTTCATTTAAGACAGATTAAGACTTAACCGCAAGGAATTATACAGAATTCTGATAAGGTGATTTATAAAGTATAGTAAAGACTTAAGGCATGAGAAATAACGTTACAGCTTAAGGTTTAAGTCTGGGCTCAAGTCTTATGTTACGGAAACTCTGCGGGCACCTTAAACCCGACACTAAATTCGAAAAGTGTCTTAAAGACTAAAAATGATCTATTGACTGTTTCAAAAATATCGACTAATTTTTTTTCTCTTAAGTATATAGTATGTCGAACAAATTGTTAGAAATGGCGAAAAACAATCCTGTAAAAGTTACAGCTCTTAAATATTAATACTTTGAGGTGCCGCATCGCAAATTTCAATTTCCCATTTGACTAACATGGGAAAAAATTGTTTTCGACCTTTGAATTTTTTTCGGATTACTAAATTATCATACGGATGAGTTCATAGTTTACTCTTGTAGGGAATTGAATGCTTTAAAACGAAGGTCTCTTACAATTTTCCGATAAACCTACTCGTTCAAAAGTTTTTCGAGGGAAATTGAAATTTGCGATGCGGCACCACTTAATATTAATATTAAGAGCTCTGACTTTTACAGGATTTTTTTTCGAAATTTCTAACAATATTTTCGACGTATTTGAGAGAAAAAAATAGACGATTTCTTTGAAATAGTCTAATTGATACACAACTATCGAACTATTTAATGCATTAAAAAATGGTTGTGTATTCTTCTCTTTGCAGGATTAGCAGATTGCGGAATAAAACGCTAAAAAAATAAAAATGGAAGATAAGCGGAAATATCAGTCTGGAGCACAGAAACGAAAATTGAAATTAGAAAAAGAAGAAAAATTAAAAAAGCATGATAAAATAGAAAAATTTTTTCAAGCCTCTCAATCTTCTGAAAAAGAACAAGTAACTATCAATATTTCTGAGACACGTGAATCAACTTTTATTTCTTGTTCTACCTCTAAAGAACTTTTGCCTTGTACTAAGACTTTTACTTTTGATAAAGTTATTAGCAATGCCATGTTTACTACACCAGGTTCCTCTAATAGCAACATTACTGTATGTAGCGATCTTGGATTTTACATGGGAAAAACTCTTACTGATGAAGATGAAAAGATTATCATTAGTCTTGAACCCAACAGACCTAAAGGTCCATTTCCCAAGGATTCGAACCAAAATGATCGCAGTTTTAGTGAGGGTTATTATTTTTCTACTACAAAATACGGCCCTGCCAATCGTCTTTGGCTGTGCTATTCAACTGTACTAGATGCAGCTTATTGTGAATCTTGTTGGCTTTTCTCAAAATTGAGCAGTCACTGGAGTACGGGCTTAAGAGATTGGAAACATTTATCATCACGCATTGAAGAGCACAGTAAAAGCAACGCTCATATTGAAGCTTGCGCTGTTCACGACCTTTGGAGAAAAAATCGTGCCATTGACAAGAACCTAGAAGAAGAGTTCAGATTTCAAGCATCCTTCTGGAAAATGGTGTTGCAAAGATTATTTAAAATTACATTACTTCTGGCAAAATGTTCCTTGTCATTTCGGAGGCACCGTGAACGTCAAGATGATTTTAGTGGGAATTTTATGGCTCAGGTGAAATTTTTGTCAGACTATGACGATGTTATGAAACAGGTGATGGATCTGTGCGATATCTTAGCCCAACTATTCAAAATGAATTGATAGATTGCCTTTCAAAAAAACTTACTTTTGAATTAACAAAACAAATAAATTCCGCAACATTTTTTCTTTGCTTCTTGATACAATTCAAGATATCACAAAGATAGATAGATCAATTAAGTATAGTCATTCGAACGTGTCACATAATTCGAGATAAAAATCTGCTATCTCAAAAGTTTGAATCAAAGAAACTTTTTTGGGTTTTTTCCAGTTAAAAGATCATTCTGCTGGAGGAATGACTCAAGAAGTTTTAAATATACTAAAGAATCTAGATATTCCTATTGAAAAATGTTATGGGCAAGGCTACGATGGAGCCAATGAGTGGGGCTTATAATGGAGTAAATGCTGAAATAAAAAGAGTTCAACAAAATGCCGAATATGTACATTGTCACAACTTAAATTTGGTAATAAATGATGCAGTAAATTGTTCTAAAGAGGTCTCGCTATATTTTGCCACTTTGCAAAATATATATTCTTTTTTTGGTTTAAGTATTAAAAGATGGGATATTTTAGCTTCTTTTACCAGTGAATCCAAAACAACTTTAAAAACATTAAATCCAACTCGTTGGTCAGGAAGGATATTGTCTATTAGTGCTGTCAAACTTCGTTATCTTGATATTATTAAATCTTTAACAGAAATAGAGTTACAGTCTCATAAAAAAGAAGAAAGAGAAGAAGCTTCTTCCATTAAAAAACAAATGTGTTGCTTTGAATTTGTATTTATTTCAACAATGTTGTATAAAATCTTTACCCCGGTTAACTTCGCCTCAAAGGTCCTTCAAAAGAAAAATATTGAAGTAAGTGAATCTGTGACTGTTTTAGAACAAGTAGAAAAGAACCTTACTGAATTAAGATCTTCTTATGAAATTTTAGTGATTGAAGCTACGGAACTGGCTAACAAATGGAATATATAACCGGAATTCAGGCAAAAACGTCAACCTAAAGTTAAAAAACACTTTGACGAACCCTTAAGTGATTACAGATTTAATAATTCTCAAATTTTATTTAAAATAAATGTATTTAATGTTGTTATGGACCGTGTTCTGACACAGATTTCTAATAGATTTAGGAGCATGAAAAAAATTAATAAATTGTTTGATTTACTTACCAATTTACTACCAATTTGTTAAATATTTGTAAAACAGACCTTAAGAATGATCTATCAATTAAGGAATATTTCAATATAATTTTAAGTAAGTATGGAGTACTTGAAAGCGACGTAAGTGAAGTTTACTTAATGTTCCTTTTATTTTTTACGTTAGGTATACTACAGGCTAGATTAGATTAAGCGATCTTGCTTTGCTCTCTATAATAGAGAATGCAGAAGCCCAAAACCTTGATATAAATGATATTATCAACGAATTTGCAAATAGAAAAGCAAGAAAAAGGGATTTTTAATTTTATTATTGTTTAATTTTTGACTTTTGTTATTTCATTATTTTAATTTGTGTTACTTTTTGTTTTTATGACAATAAACAATTTTTTTATTACAACATGATATTTTTTATTCTTAAACATACTCATGAGGGCCCCCAAAAAATGTTTGCCCCGGGGCTCCATGACTTCTAGCTACGCCACTGCTATGCGGTTCAAGATATACAACAACTGTGTTGTGTGCGCCATCTATCCAAGAACCGTTAGAATCAATCCCGTTATGCTTCTTATTGCAATGATTACTATGATGTGACGCTGCCCATCTACCGGTGAAGTCGCGTAACTGAGTATAATACGAAGGAGGACGCAGTCTCAGATTGTAGCTGTAAACTAAGCATTGTAAGTGGTTGCCGCTAGATGGCGAAACATTTTTAGGCAATTGCCCTATAGTCTAGTAGTCAAGTATAGGCAAACATTCCATCAGTTCCGTAGAGGCGGGCAGCGCAGTTGATAAAGGGGATCGTTCTTTGGTTCGATACAAGTGTGTCGCTGGTCAGGGCCGATTTCACCAACATTAATATTATGGACCAATGGGAAAATACCTTATCCAAATGCAATTTGATAGAAGCTGTCAAAGTTCTCAGAATATCAGTGATTTCTATTAAAATATTGAATAAAATCGTGAAAATTCGACTGTATTATAAACAAGACCACTTCTTGATTCCAACATGATGCTTTTTTACAGAGAAAACAGGTCAACTTTCATGTATTTTGATTTGTGTTATAAATTTACATTTAACAATCAGTTATCCCCAAAAGCCAATGGGAATGCGGCAAATAATAGGTCGACTTTCTAGCTGTTAAATTTGGCAGCGGATTTGGACGTTTGTTAATGCATGGCAATCTCGAATTTAAGTTCAATATACTGTTATCATTACATACCTGTTGAATAGTGTGGATTTGTCTGTATTTTGCAAAAAAATAGAATATAAAATACATTCCATCCAATTCCTTATCTTCCTTTACATCTTAATAGTAATCATTTATTAATTTACGGGTTAATGAATTTCTTCAAAGCAACAAAAACATTGTCCTCTCCAACCTAAAACACAGATAATTTGTGTAAGACGTGTCAACATCTACATCTCCGTGATGCATAATGCAATTACTATGGACATAGACAAAAAATTATGGAAAATGTCTCACAAATAATGTCTTTTAAGTTCAAAAATCATAAAAACTATTAATGTTTATTCACTGGTGAGGTTATCTATCTGTCACTGGCAGGGTTACCACGTCTAACGACAATCACGTCCCGTGGTGAAGGGTGCGACATGAATCTTTTACATTTGCTGCTTTTGAATTTAAAGTAGGAATACAAACTAGTACGTATGATAGTTGGAGCTAGACTGATAAAACTTGTTGAAGAATATTTGAAAAATGTGAACACCGTCATGGTCTGTTGTCAAATTGCAGTAGTATCTGAAAATTCTTACATTCAGTGGACATTCGTCATAGTTTACTATCATTCTTAGCAGATGTGTTGTATCATCAAATTGATGAACAAATATAAGAAAGCTCTTATATACCTACATACAGACGATTTTTAATGTAAATTTACTAGGATTATAACCATCTTTGGTGAATTGTTCGATCCGGAATGGGAGAGATCTCCTATTTATGAAAATACTTTTGGTATCATCTAACCGTTGCAATCAGTGTACAAAAACTGTGACATATGATTTATAGCACAACCCGCTGCCCTATCAATACAAATTTAACATACAGATCGCCTAGCCGTGGGGATGCAGTGGTCGGGATTAATATCACGGCAGCAACTGATGATTTGGGCATGTCTGGTAACAACATATGAAGTGAAACTCGCTAACTTCACAAATTTCAAGATTTTGTACAAATTCCTTCGAAAACGATGAAAGATATGTCTGATTTGGCAGGGTAATGTCGCAGCCAAATGGCAGTCACTCTTTCTGACACAGTCCGGATCGAAAGATGACGATACTCGTGAAATTTATTGATACTTCTAAATATAGGATCGTATCGAACATCCCTACTGTCAAGGTGTATAACACAAGGTACCGACGGAGCTATTTTGCGGCGTCATGGAAATAATTTTAAATATTCATTTGCATTTTTTCAAGCGTTGTGCAATGATTTTGGGAAAAATGTCACGAATAGTAGAGTATATTTCAAAAGTTGGCGGAACTTACTCCACTGGGACCAGGAGGGTGAAACGGGATATTAATGCACAATCTGGCAAACCTGTCACACCCTCACAAAATGGCCGCTGACAACCACACAAGTCACCGTGTTGTCATTTTATAGCATGGAATTAAACCTTCAGAGTATATGTTTTGTGACTGGTACCAAGAGTCGACAGATCCCACACCTGTGTCACTCCTTTAAATGCAATAATCAGGTGTATTCAAATAATGTCTAATATAAATATAACCTAGAATGTGTACTCGTGAAAAAAGAAAAATATGGCAAATTTGTAGTTTTTTTGCAGGTTTTAGGTTTGCTGGTAGCTTTAAGGCATATATTTGGGAATTTCTTAATCGCTGTGAATATAGTGTGGATGTTTTATCAGATCCTGAACAATGAAAAATATTCAACTTTATGGATGTATGGAAATAAAAAAACCTGAATGGTTTTGTGGGAATATCAATCTAAGGTGCCATAATGGTTCGGATGAACGGCAAGTAAATAAATGTATCTATGTTTGGGTACGAGCAATATCTTTTGGTAGAGCCTGTCATCAAGTAGGTGCTTAATGGCTATCTGCAAGAGGTTTACGGAAAAAAACACCCAGTATCGCATATCAATGAAGAAAATAATATAAACATGAATAAAAAATCAGCAATAGTAATTAAAACATGAATTTTATTCAAAAATCCAACATTCCTTTAAATTTTGACTGAATTATATGTAATTTCTTAATATTCAATAAGCTGGTCATGTTTCAATGACAACCTGTCATCTCATACTTTGACAGTATTTTGTTTTCAAGATTTCATAGCTATTGGTTGCTAAAATTTGTTGATTGGAACTTGAAGCTCATTTGTTGTATTTGGCGGCCTGTTACCCTATAGGTGGAGAATAACGGACTGTTGTTGGTGAAATTGGCCCTTAGTGTTTATATCTTACCTTAATGGACTGTAGTCGAGTTTGGGTATTGTTGACGGTGATCAGTATGAATCATGAAATGTGTGAGCACTTTATACACTTCTCAATGTATGCTATGATACAGGAAATCACTTCCTTCTAAAAAATTTTGAGATACCATAAAAATTTGCGACGATTTTGGAAAATTGAATATGCTTCTTATTTGCCGGATAAAAAATGAATAACAGGATCACAAAAGCAGAAGGTATGACAGCATCGTTTCAATAAATTGTGCGACGTTGCCAGATTTGATTACGGCATAGGTTTCTGTGTTTATTTTTTATCAATTTTTCTTTAATTAATCCCAGCTTGATTCTATAATTACCTTTCTATGTATATGTTACACATCCTAACATAGCCTCAAATCCCTGATAGCACGATATATTGATTAAATATTTATTTAATATTTAATAATATTTTTATCTTATTTTTTAAATATTTGTTTTCTTAAATAAATATTTAATAAACATTTGTAATATAATATTTTAATTAGATATTTATTCAATATCTTTCAAATAATGTAAATACAATATTTCTTTTACAATATTCATTAAATATTTACTTTTCAATCAATGTAAAATATTAGATCTCCAATATTTAGTAAATATTCATTAAATATTTTCGGCTACGGCGCATGTGCGTGTGACCTCGAGCGACCAATGGGATAATAGCAAGCTGTTTGCCGGCATCCATTTTACCTGTGACTTTCAGTATGATAGTGTGCTTCCTGTATACCACCTAGTGGTTCATTATTCGAGTGTTTATTTGTGGAGAAGGGAAAAGAGTAAGTTTTTCGATAATTATATAAGGTAAGTTTACCAAATATTGCCATAGATCCTAATAACGCCACCCCAGGAAGCGCATATTTTTCATACATGATATGAAATCTGGCAACATGGAACGTCTTTTGGGGTAGCCATATATTCCTTACCACGTTGTCGGTTTCAGTTGAGGTTAAGCGTCTGGTGTGGATGCGCGCCAAAAATTGTTCTAGTTCTCTGTTATAAGAAAATCATTTCATTACCTGGCGTGTGCACAATTATAACACATTACTGTTCAAATTTCTATACTGCTGCAGGTAGGTGCATATTTATAGTTATTGTTCCACAGGTTATGTATCTGATTCCGTATGTTTTTCTAAATATAAATGGAAATGTTTTCTGCATTGCATTTGTTCTTAATATTGCCATAGAATGGTATACCGAATACAGCCAGTGGCAGTATAAGGACTACCAGGGACAATATTAGAGGCACCAATGGCAATATTAGGATTCAAGCAAGAATTCAGAAAATTCAGCTATGTTATTTGAAAATGCACGAATGGTTCCTTCCAGAATTACTCAGCATTACTGGCCATAGCAAATGGCACTTCAATCAAAAGTGCTGCCAAGAGGTATGGAATTCCCCGAACATCTCTAGGACTACATCATAGAAAACAAAATTTCAAAAAGAAGCTTGGAAGGTCTTCAGTTCTATTTCCGGAACAAGAAAATGATCTTGTTACGAGAATTCATAGATTATCTGAAGTCGGAATGCCTATTACTAGCAAAGTTTTGATGAAAAGTGTATATACCTACGTTTGTGAAAACAACATACCGAATCCGTTTTCGAAGCAATCAAAACGTGCTGGACGAGAAGGGATGCAGATTAACAATACACAATCAGCAAATTGTACTAGCTAAGAGAGGGTCTAAGCGCGTACATTTAACTGCTCCTGAACATGGCGAGAACGTTACAATTGTAGGTTGTGGAAATGCGCTAGGTCAGTCTGTGCCACCATTTTTCCTTTTCAAAGGTCAAAGACTGAAACCTGAATGGTCTGATCACTTACCACCAGGCTCAAAATGTATTGTCACAAAAAAGGGTAGTATGACGTGCGAAGCGTTTGTTTTGTGCTTAAAGCACTTTGCTTCCTTCAAAAACCCTGGTCCTACTCTATTAATCTTTGATGGCGCGAAATGTCATCTTGATATTTCAATAGTTGAAGCAGCCGATAGCATGAACATGACGTTATTTTGTCTTCCAAGTAACACGTCTCATGAGTTGCAGCCCATGGACAAATCCGTTTTCAGAAGCTTTGAAACATTTTGGGATCAAGAAGTTCTGCACTTTCTAACAACTAACCCTGGCAAGACCTTGACTAAAATTAGATTTGGAGAAATTTTCACGACTGTTTGGTTGAAGGCAATGACACCATCAAACATAATTTCTGGGTTTAGAGCCACAGGGATATACCCATTCAGGCCGGATGCACTACCTGAGTCTGCTTACGCACCAAGTGCAATTTCTCACAGAGAGGAGGACAAAGAAAATCGTGAACTCAGTTTTCAAAATAGTGTAGCCAGGACCGAGAGTTCCGAATCATCGGCATCGATGAATAATGTAACTAAGGCAAGTACAAGTGGGAATAAAGGACTGTTACAAAACAAGAAAGCCAAAAAAATATATCGTGAAGCATATTCTTCAGATAGCGAGTCTTTATCGGACTTTAGTCTACATGATGATACATCCGCTAACACTTCTAGTGAAGATGAACCCTTGGCTACTTGGAAACACCAAAATATCAACGTGGACAGATTAAACGAATGCCATAAGCAAAGCTCATTTTCCGTAAAAAATAAACCGCCAAACACTTCTTTTGATAGCGATGATGAAGTTCCACTCATACTTCTCAAAAATAGAGAGAATATTGTCTCTAAAACAGCCACAAGCTCACCTCCAGACAATTCATTCACGGTTACAGTGTTACTCATTACTCCCGAAATCAAAGTACCCACGACAAAAAGAAAGCCTGCATTGAACAGTAAAGCTCAAAAGGTCACTAAAGATTTATTTGCTCAAAATAAAGCTAAAGCAAATAAGAAACATGGAACAGCTATACATACCACTGATAAAAATAGTCCAGGAGAGGCCGACTCTTGGTGTTGTTACCTTTGTAGTACGTGCCGTAAAGAAGACATGCGCTTATGCGTGGCTTAGAAGATAAAGAAATATTCATTTGTCCCTGTTGTAGTTGAAAATTTTTCAAGTACCTACCATTTTCATATACGATTATGAGTTTTAAAGTTTTATTTTATGTTGTTTTTCAATATTTTGTTAATTTTACTGAATGTTTTTAATGTTCATACTATGTGGCAATAATAGGAGCACTGGTAAGCTTAATATTGTCACCAGATATTCCAATAAAGAACTACGATAAGTCCATTTGTATTCATCCTATTGAAATGCCTGAAACATATGTTATAGAAAATATATTTCTCTGTGTATATCTCAGTTTTTATTCCGTTATTGTGAAAAATGAAAATTATTTATGGCAATAACTCTTAAGGTGGCAATATTTGGTACACTTACCTTAGGTTAATTTATCTGACTGGTAAACATTATTGTGCCAGTTGAGTATAAAGGTATTCACAAGACCATAAATAACTAGACTTGTGGGGTCCTTCTAGGTTTTTTATAGAGCTGCTTTTCAGTGGCCCAGTTGAGCTACTCAGAGTGACTCACCATGCTCTGCACCAATATTGTTCCACTGCATTTTATATTCCCATAAATAAACTGGAAAGCAGCTTATGTATTCAATGATACTTCATAATTAGTAAGTTTTTTTTGTAGACGAGTGGACTTGCAAGATGCAGAAGAGGCTTAGAATGTTCTTTTAATAATATTTTTCTATAAAATTAAACCATTATATCTAGAATGAATTTTCTTTATACAACCAATTTTATATAAGCATTCCTACATGTTTTGCTAAAATAACCAATGGAGAATTTTCTAGTTACACTGAAAATACATATCTATCAGATCGATGATGAAAATCCATACATATTTACCAAAAATTTTAGATATTTCATCAAAATATAAAATTGATATTTAAAAATCTTTCCTCATATATTATCTAAATATTTGGAATTATATATAAGTACTAAAAATATCTATAATAAATATTTTATAAATATATAAGAAATATATTTAATAAGTATTAAAAAATCTGTCGCTACAAATATTTAACAAATATTTTTTAAAAATATTTAATAAATACGTATATTTAATGCTATCAGGGATGTACAGCGGCGCATTGACCGCGCGCCGCGACAAAATGTATTCCCGCCCTAAAGCAACGCGATTCATAATTTATTAGACATTTTGAGTTATATTGACATAAATGCTGTAAATTTCATTGCAAAAGAAATATATAAACATGAATTAAACACAGTTTCTGGTTTTATCAAGCGCTTATTCAACTTTTGTTGAATTCTTGATAAACCTCGGCGTCTTTCACAGAACAATAGCATGTAAAAAATGTGGCAAGGACATAACACTAAATTGTGAAAAATTAATATATCGCTAGCACGTTCTTTGATACGAGTCAGTTACTCATTGAAACAATAGGACGGTTTCTGGCATATTTTCTCTTGATCCATCATCCCCGAACTACAATTTTCGTCAACCAGCTGCACCTATCGCAGCAGACCATAGTGGATTGGTGCAGTTTTTGCCGAGAGGTAAGTAACAGGCGGGCTGTAAAGTTCGTTGACTCATACATAGATGGCGCTAATAGTATCAAATCCGATTTTCAGTTAGCCCTAACCTTCAAAAGGCGCGTGTATAAATTTGACAGCTGTTGCACTATTAGTACCCGAGTTATAGCATTTTTAGTGAAAGAAATTTTGTTACTTTGAAACAATGGATAAAAAGGAATTTCGTGTGTTAATAAAGCATTACTTTTTAGCAAAAAAATACTGTTGAAACCAAGGCTTGACTTTGCGCCAGGGAAATGAGCACCGAGGACGATGCACGCAGTGGACGCCCCAAAGAGGCCGTTACAGACGAAAACATCAAAAAAGTCCACAAAATAATTTTTGATAACCGTAAAGTGAAATTGATTGAGACAGCTGAGACCCTAAAGATATCAAAGGAACGTGTTGGTCATATCGTGAATGAATATTTGGATATGCGAAAGCTCTGTTCAAAGTGGGTGCCGTACGAGCTCACAATCGACCAAAAACAACAACGAATCGATGATTCTAAGCAGTGTTTGGAGCTGTTTAATCGCAATAAATCCGAATTTTTGCGTCGATATGTGAGATGGATGAAACATGGCTCCATTATTTCACTCCGGAGTAAAATCGACAGTCAGCCGAGTGGACTGCACGTGATGAACCGACTCCAAAGCGTGGAAAGACGCAAAAGTCGGCTGGCAAGGTTATGGCATCAGTATTCTGGGATACTCATGGTATAATATTCATTGATTATCTCAAAAAGGGGAAAACATAAACAGCGACTATTACGTAGCGTTATTGGAGCGTTTAAAGGACGAAATCGCGGAAAAGCAGCCTAATTTGAAGAAAGAAAAGTGCTGTTTCATCAAGACAATTCACCGTGTCACAAATCAATGAAATCGATGGCAAAATTGCATGAATTGGGCTTCGAATTGCTTCCGCAGCCACCGTACTCTCCAGATCTGGCCCCCAGCAACTTTTTTCTGTTCTCAGACCTCAAAAGGATGCTCGCTGGACAGAAGTTTCGCGCCGATGAAGAGGTAATCGCCGAGACTGAAGCCTATTTTGAGGCTAAAGACAAATCATAGTATAAAAATGATATCGAAAAATTGTATGGCCACTATAATCGTTGTATCGCCCTCGAAGGGAACTATATTGAATAACAAAATCCAATTCTATCGAAAAAAAAAATTCTATGCCAGCCTACGAACTTTTGTGCCCACCTGTTATCTATGTTACCGGACAAACCGGATTTTAGGATAAACTAGTTTTTACTAGACTAGTTTATCCCAAGAGCGATAGGATGAACTAGTTAATCCTGAACTAAATTAATTGTGATTATTAAACACTAATTTGTCCTAGTATAAACTGCGGCTTTTATTTTATTTGAATTGAATATTTTCATTTCTGAGATGAATTTGATATCCGCACACAAAAGTTCTTACTGGAAGAAGAAGTGAACAAAAACATTGAACCGCAGCGTTCAAACATTCAGTTGGGACAGGCCAAGGTTTCTCTAAGTGTAACTGCACCAAGAAGTGTACGTCAAATCGATGCCTTTGCAAGAAAAATAAAGTTCTCTGCAAGTCGAAATGCCAGCAATAGTTTGACATGTAATAACAAGTAAATAATAAAAGTTATGAAACATGTTTGTAATAATAGTATTTTCTTCAATTAGTAGTAAGGACATTACTTTTGTGAAGATACTGTTTGTAGACTAGGACAAATCAGTTTTGCCTAATCTCACTTAATTGATTTTAGGACAAATCAGTTTAGACTAAGATAAACTAGTTTATCCTATAGCTCTTCGGATACACTGATTTGGCCTAGAAAAAACTAGTTTATCCCATATTGGGTTTGTCGGGTAATATATACAGTGTGTAACAATCGTTTAATGTGTTGTACTTTTGTAGGTCCGTATAGAATGGTGCATCAGAAATAGGGTTGATAAAATTGGTGTTTCGGGGAAAGTCGTAGAAATCCATGAAGCCAAAATGGCTAAAAGAAAATTTAATTGTGGAGGAGTTAAACGAAGATCCTCCAAATTATTTATTGTTCCTGTTCCCGAAATTACTGCCAATACACTTTTTGCGATCATTAAAGAGCGGATTTTTCCAGAAACCAGCGTTATTTCGGATTGTCTGAAGGCCTATAATTCAGCGTCGCAACATCGCCGATAGCATTCATTGTTTTAAAAAAATGTTTGTTGAATATTCGTAGCGACACATTTTTTAATATTTAATAAACATATTTCTTATGTATTTATAAAATGTTCATTATAGATATTTGTGGTATATAAGGGTGTTTTAGTTTATTGTTGCATAACTTTAAGATTCGATAGAACTTTTAAAATTAATGCATAAAGTCTATATAAGCATGGGTCGAAAAATGCGTGGCTTCCGAAATACAGGGTGATTAAATTTACTTTCTAAAATAGTTTTTTTTTCAAATATTTCGAATAATATTTGATGTATAATAGTGAAAATTGGTATACCTACAAGGGTTTTTTGGTACGACAAAACGAACCATGGGCATAGTTTTACTGTAGCCGCTAGAGGGCGCTCTCTACTGTACCTGTAGTGTATTAAAATGACCGAAAATTTTCTCTTAGTGCAATTTTTTGCTTTTTGAATAAAAAAACTGATTCTTCGCACTTTTCAACATAAAAAAGCTGACTTGTGAATTTTCGTTATAGTTAGCCGTTTTTGAGATATTTCGACTTTTAAGGTTCGATGCATTTTTAATTATTTATGTTAAAATAACGTTAAAAAGTCAGTATCTCGATAATTTTTAGAAGTAGGCTGTGCCTGCAAATATTTTTGCAATTGAAAGCAGAATAAGGTTAAACATCAATTAGTTGACAGTTAGTTTTGTTGTCTGTTGAAACCTGAAACGTTTTTTTGCAATTGTGAAGTTTTATAAAAATGCCATTTTTATTCTCCAATCAAGAGTTAGCGGATATTCATTTTGTGTATGGCTTTGTAAATGGAAACGCAGCAGAAGCAGCCAGAGAATACACACGAAGATTTCCAAACAGACGATATCCAACTCGCATGGTATTTGTAAGAGTGCATCGCCAAATAACTGAAAATGGTTTTGGAAATCTCCAAAGGGATCAAAACATAAATGTTCGTCAGCGCAGATTTACCCGTATGATTCTGAGTGAGTTTGATAGAGATCCGACCACAAGTGTTAGGAGAGTTTCTGGTGCCTTCGCAATTTCAGCAAGCCGTGTTCACCGTGTTCTTAGAAATGACCATAGACGTCCTTACCATTTGCAACCTGTGCAAGGACTACAGCCAGGGGACGGAGAACGAAGAATCACATTTTGTCAGTGGATTCTTGATAGAACTGATAATAATAGGAAGTTTTTAAGTAACGTTTTATGGACCAATGAGTCATGCTTCACTAGACGTGGAGTGGTAAATTTTCATAATCAACATATTTGGTCGCATGAAAATCCGCATGCAGTCGGGAAAGAAATTTTCAGCATGAATTTAGTGTGAACGTGTGGATTGTTATTTACCGTAATCGACTATTTGGACCCTACCTTTCGCCTGCAAGGTTAAATGCTGCGACCTTCTTGGAATTTTTAAAGGCTGAACATGCAAATATGTGGGCTGATGTTATGTTAGATTTAAGAAGATTGGCCTGGTTCTAGCTTGATGGTTGTCCAGCTCATTATTCCAGAACTAGTTAGAAACTGGCTGGACGAAAATTATCCAGAAAGATGGATCGGCCGTGGAGGAGCAGTCGCCTGGCCTCCACGATCCCCTGACATAAATCCATTAGATTTCTTTGTGTGGGGATTTCTAAGAGAAAAAGTGTACCAGACTCCCGTAACCACAAGAGATATGCTAATAGAGAGAATCAGGAATGCATGTGATGAAATAAGGCCTTATTTGAATAATGCTATACCACGTTCGATCATTCGTAGATGCGAATTGTGTATTGAACAATTGAGTTTACATTTCGAGCAACTACTTTAGATTTTGTATGTTTGTCCTAACTATCCAATAGTATTTTAGTTGTAAATAATTAATATAATTTGTTAAAAATAATATTGGAAAATTAAACAAATTAATATTCTGTTTTTTGTGTTTATTTGGAGTTAGGAATTATTGCTGTGTTTAAAAACAGAATCTAAACGATCATCTTAATTACTTGTAATGCCCAAATTGAAAATGTAAAAAAATATTATTTTCCCATAAATAATTAAAAATGCATCGAACCTTAAAAATCGAAATATCTCAAAAACGGCTAACTATAACGAAAATTCACAAGATAGCTTTTTTATGTTGAAAAGTGCGAAGAATCAGTTTTTTTATTCAGAAAGCAAAAAATTGCACTAAGAGAAAATTTTCGGTCATTTTAATACACTACAGGTTCAGAAGAGAGCGCCCTCTAGCGGCTACAGTAAAACTATGTCCATGGTTCGTTTTGTCGTACCAAAAAACCCTTGTATACCAATTTTCACTGTTATACATCAAATATTGTTCGAAATATTTAAAAAAACTGTTTTAGAAAGTAAGTTTAAACACCCTGTATTTCGGAAGCCACGCATTTTTCGACCCATGTTTATATAGACTTTATGCATTAATTTTAAAAGTTCTATCGAATCTTAAAGTTATGCAACAATAAACTGAAACACCCTGTATAATTCATATATTTTTGCGATATTTTTTCCATATATTTAGAAAATGTATGAGGAAAGATTTTTAAATATAAATTTTATATTTTAATGAAATATCTAATATTTTCCGTAAATATGTATGGATTTTCAAGCAATAATCTGATACATATTTTCAGTGTATGAAAATTCTTCATTGTTATTTCAGCATAATCTGTAGGAATGCTTTGATAAAATTGGGTTTATAAAGAGAATTCATTCTAGATATAATGGTTTAATTTGCTAGAAAAATACAATTAAAAAAACATTCTAAGCGTCTTCTGCATCTTGTAAATCCACTCCTCTCGAAAAAACAAACAAACTTACTAATTATGAAGTGTTATTGAATACATATGCTGCTGTCCTGTGGTCTTTTGTTTAAGAGAAATATTCTCCCGAACTACTCCAGAAAGTCTAAAATATAAAATGCAGTGGGACAATATTGGTGCTGAGCACTGCTGAGTTACTCCGAGTAGCTCAACTGGGTCACTGAAAAGCAGCTCTATAATGCACCTAAAAGGACCCCATATTTTCTTCCTATGAGAGTTCGAGATTTGGTTAATCTTTAAGCAAATTATTTTAAATATGCCGATGAAGAATGTTAAAGGTTTTTAATAATAATCTTACTGATTTTGTTGAAATGTGACTTTTTTGCAGTAGTAAGGGGGCTAATTTAGTCAAAACTACTTTGTGACTTTATCGTAGGGACAACGGACAAAAATATAGTATTTTCGACTGTTGAATTTTTGGAACGTCGTACGGACGTTTTTAAAATACTACTACCTGACAAAAATAATAATAACAATTGAGTTATCTAAAAAAAGCATTTTTGATCTATCTCGATCAATTTGTGATTATAGGACTTTTCGTTGGGATGTTATGAATACAATTTTTGCATCTATTTTAAGATGAGTTCACCAATCCCAAATCGCAAATAACTGTTACACTTCAAGGCTAGTTATTTATGTTCTTGTAGATATCTTTATACTCAACTGGCACAATTATGTTTACGAGTCAGATAAATTAAGCTATGTAATTGTCGCAAAACTTACCCTTTTGCACAAAAAAAATATTCAAATAATGTACGACTTGGAGGTACACAGGTACACAAGGAGCACGCTATCATAGTGAAACTCACAGGCAAAATGGATGGCGGAAAACGGGACGGCTCGCCATTATGCCATTGGTCGCTCGAGATCACACGCACATGCGCCTTAGCCAAAAATATTTAATGAATATTTCCTAAATAATGTGAATATTTGATGAATATTATAAAAGAAATATTGTATCTAAATTATTTGAGAGATATTGAAAAAATATTTAATAAAAATATTATATTCCAAATATTCATTAAATATTTGTTTGAGATAACAAATATTTAAGTAAGATAAAAATATTATTAAATATTGAATAAATATTTAATAAACATTTCGTGCTATTGGACATAGGTACCAGCGTCTAACTGTCAATCATAGTATGAACTTCGCGGACCCTGATCCTGGTAAGGTATTGAAAGTATTATGCGCGATGCTTTAGTGCATTTCATATTGATATATAATTTGAGATACTATGATCTCACACAGAAACTGGAAAATAGTAGGGGCATGCTGACGCTTATCAAGGAAGTCGTTGATTTTATTTAATCTGTTTAATCGATATTTGTTCGCAGGTGCTCATACTTAAAATATAGAAAGAGTATGGAGAGAGGTACGCAGTAATATTCCTCGCTATGGCATCTTGCCGAATTTATGTTTCGGAGAGCTGTAGCCTATGAAGATCGCATCACAACATTCCTCCTAACCAGCATAGGGATATATAGGCGTTCCAACAGTTAGAAAAATATATATTTTTAATGGGCAATCATATTTGAATGTATCATTCTAGCTTCCACATAAAAAGTTCAAACATTCACAATGTAAAACTTCTATTTGTATTTGTACCCTTTTAGCGTGTTCGTTGCTGCTTATTGCAACCATATATTTGCTTTTATTTTTTATGCGCATATGCGCGATCGTGATTTTCGTACATTTTCCAATATTTGTCTATTTGTGGCAACGTCGCGGTATATGTGGGTTGAAATGTAAATGAAACGGCATGAGTGTCATGTAAAAAACCTATAAAACGTCAAAAAAACCTATAAGATGTCATCTTGCAAACTAGGTAGTTTTTAGGGCGCTAACAGTCATTCCACGTTTGCTCACTAGGATCCTTGTGAACGTCCATCTAAGGACGAATCAGTCAACTAAACTAAACGCATTATTGGTTGCATATGTTTTGTGAGGCCAAATGGTCCTTGTCTGTAGTTTTTATCTCTGAGAAGAAAGTTGGTTGAATAGCAAGGTCGCATCTGGATGGTTATGTGTATTGGTATGCATGTGTATAAAATCAGTGATATTTGCTGTGAAATCATTACTGAATGTGCTGCCAATGAAGTATATCTATTGACTGTGCCCGACGGGTTATTTTTGTGTTGTGCTTTCTGAAGAGAGGTTATGTTCAAAGTCGATGACTCTTCTCTAACAGACAGTCTCGGGACTCTTTCGCATCGGCGGGCCGTCGGCGATCTAGCTCTTTTCTATCGCTACACCAACGGGCTTTGCTCCTCAGAGCTCTCTTCCATGATGCCGCCGCGCGATGTGCCTGCCAGACAGACCCGCCTGACTTCGGCGTCCCATCCTAACCGTGTCAAACTTCGTACATCCAGAACTGGCCGATACGACCGCTCCTTTGTCCCGAGGGTGTCTAGATTGTGGAACAAACTACTGGAGGAAGCTTTTCCCAGTTCTACTAACCTTAGGCAGTTCAAAAATCGTATTAACAAAATTTCTTTGGGATCATCACAGCAGCCGCGGTGTTCCGGCATTTAGGCTTCTGCCTGCGCGGCTGTTTCGATATAAAAAGCGACGAAAAAAAGATAGCAAAGCCATATACAGGTGGTCACTATCCAGTGAGTTTATATGGTCATATTTTAATATTCTTGTGGTATATGGCTACACAGGATACTTTGTTAAGCATAGGAACTAGATTTAAAGTGTCCCCAACAACAGTGATGAGTATAACAAATAAGGTGCTCTACTTCATGCTAAAACTAAGATCAGCCTACATTAAGTTTCCCAAAAATGAAGCTGAAATGAGAGACATTAGTGAAGGTTTCAAGAACCATCCAGGTAAGTAAATGTTTCTGAATACTGCAAACCTAGGGTGATACCTCCCCCTGCATTTCACCCAATTACTTCCCTATTGTTACTCTATATTTCCCTAGAAACCGGTCAATATTTCCTTAGTGGTTTCCCCCTCATGTAAGGCCTAGTCATTAATGTTTTAGAGACAAATAGCTACATAGACCGCTATAGAAGAACATCTATAAATCTCATGGCAATATGTGATTCTAACACTTTATTTACCTATGTGTTTTTAGGATACCCTGGATCTGCTCATGACTCACGAGTATGTGTTAACAAAAATAAGAAAACGCCTCATTTTGAAGTGAATATTTATTACATTGCAATAAAACTTCAAACTAGTATTTAAGAGGAAGTGAAAAAAGCTCTGCGCCAGTTAAATTTTGGTATACAACACCTTGTAGGAAAACATTAATATTTTTTTATATTTTTATACTTTAATTTCAGGTTTTTGAAAATTCAATTATGTGCAAAAACATTGAGAGACATGGGCCAAACTTCTACTTTTTGGATACTCAGAAATATCACCTAATTGGTGATAGTGCATTAAGAACTTGGCTTATTACTCCTTACCGAGGCGACAATGTGACCAGAAAGCAAAAATTTCACAATTACTGTCTTAGTTCCGACAGAGTAAAAATTGAACATTGTTTTGGGGCATATAAGGGTAGGTGGAGAAGGGTGCAATATATAAATACCTATAACATTTGCAAAGCAGTGGAGATTGCAACAGCTGCATGTGTTCTACACAATTTTTGCATTTTGCATAAAGACACCTGGAGTAACGATTTTTTTGGAATTCACCTGGACAGAAATATAAATCAGGCTGAAGAAGATAGGGGTATCATAGAAGCAAAGCGGAAAAGAAATAGAATTTCAGACACTTTATTCTTATGCAGATATAACATAGAATAATATTATTGTACCATCTTTCAATTGAAATTGAATAAAAACACAATTATTGGTTTGCATTTTAATTTACTTATCTCTACTTTCATTTTAACTTAATTATTATTCTATACACAGGGTTTGTTAGTTATCACAAAAGGTATATTACCTTTTTTTATGGATGGATTGACTTCTACCTTGAAATAAACTTCTTCCTTGAATAAAACTAAAATATTAGAACAAGAAACTATTGATTACACAATTTAAAAATCTCAAATAAAAACAAAAAGAAATAAATATTAATCGATGTTAATCCTAGTCAGTGTCAGAATCGTTTGTATCACTCTTTCTTCTTTTTTTTGTCCCAAAAGCTGCCTCAACAATTTCTAAGAACCTGTCCTTTCGTTGTTCTGTTTTCTTCAAATGTTCTTTCAAAAAACTAAATTCTTCACTTCTTATTTTTCTATCCTTTTCCATTTCTCTTATCAGGTCATCATGCCGAGAAGGTGTTACCTTTCGAGTTTTTTTTAAATCGGCTAACTGGTGTTGTTGTTGAGGGACCCAATTGAGTTTCTTCTGATTCTGTATGATCTGGTTGTTGCTGTTCTATTTCATTTTTCACACTTTCTGATGTTTCATCCATTGAATCCTCTAGATTCAGTGGGGTTACCTTATGTTTGCATCCTAAAAATTATATTGGTAAGTACTTCCACCTGTTTTGACTAAGGAATCTAAAGGTACGCATTTTTGTTTTTTGATGGTTCATACCAGAATTTTTATAATTACAAACATGACAGAAGAAAAATTAAAATAACAATACTACATACTTGCTTAAGATAGTAATGTGAAAGTAAAAGAAGATATTAAAGTAACCTAGAATGGAGTGGAGCTCATCAAAAAATGGAGGAATGTCATCAATTCTCTCACTTCCTGTTGTAGTTTGATGCTTCATGTAAGATAAATAAGTTTTTTGCAAATTCGCAAGCTTTTGACGACACCGCTCTCCTCCTTTGTTCCCAAGATGGAAATTATTTTCCTCTAACTCTTTTGCTATGTCATTCCACAATTTAAGTTTTCTGGTTCTTTTGTCGTCAAAGTAAGTACCTACTTTTTTCCTCTCTTAAGGACAACATTAAATTAGTTGCTTCATTATCCATTTCAGAAGGCTTCTTCTTTGTCCAAATCATATCATTAATAGATGGTTGAATGGTTGAGTCATTTTCATTGTGGGGCATAGACCACATAGATTGAAAATCATTCTGAGGTTGATTTTCGGAGTCATTGTGCTCATGCTGAGACCCCAATGGACACATAGATAAAATATATTGCTCTGCAGCAGCAGCATCTAAAATTTCATGCCAAACCTATTTGAATATGAAAAATATGCCACTCTCATAATTGATAAATCTTAAAGCAAAGTATGAGAGGTATCCAGTTCTGATACAGAGTTTATTATTGAATATGTGCATACCATGTAGAAAAAGTCACATAATATGTAGGTATCTAGAACCTTGCACCCCACCTCTTTAATATTTAAATAGCCCATAAATATCAGGCTTTTTCTACTTGGTATACAATATACTATTCCTTGCTTATCATACTGTATAGTTACCATTCAAAAGTAAATTGGCTGTTTCAAGGTCTTTAACGCAGACCTCGTAGTCTACGCCTTCATAGTTTAAAGTTAGATAAAATTGCTCCATATTATTCTCAATTTAATAAGGAACTGCAAAACTGCTATTTTAAACGCGCATATAACCTCACAAGTACGACGAAAATATCCAATACCCGCCAAAATTCTAACTTGTCACATTTCAAATAATAACCAGAAATATAAAACTGCTCGGGAGTTGGGTAAATACCACAATTTTGCGGTGATAACTATGACATATAACAGCTGATTCATGACGTCACGGATCTTATAACCAAACTGATAACTACACTCGCTTGATCGGTAAATACCAATCCAGAATGGTAAATACCGTTTCCATTTGGTTATTCGCTTGAATTTGATTTAAGTGCTAAGTTAATATCTTGTAGAAAAACCTACTTAATGTCAAAAAAACAGGATAATGTCAAAAAAATCGGCATAATGTCACTTATCAGTATACGTGATACCAGTGCGGAACATTCTGCAAATGTCATAATTTATTGTAAATAGGCTTTGGATATAAAACGTGCTCTTGTAGGTAGATTATGATGAAACCCATCCATATACATTGATTTTGAATGATACTTGTCATGCAGACGTTAAAAAGCGGCAAGTAATTGACAAGTTGATTGGTTCTCTAATTTGGCAAAAAACCTAAATAATATCAAGAATATTCTGCAATTAACCCATTTGCAGGCACTTTCAATTTCATTTCCATTATTTACAACACAAACCTAGTGCCTATTCCGACGGATAAACAAAAAAGGCTGGTGTAGTTAAGCTAGAGAATTACCTTCGATTTTGTCAAATGTGAAAACAATAAAAAAATAATGTCCCTATTTTACTTATCTAAAATTCTTTTAAAACACCTAACGGAACGCTACAACCTTGAGTAACAAGAAAAGTATATTCGGACATCGCAGAATTGTATGACATGTCATGCGAGGGTTCACGATCCAAGTCTGGGAACGTAATTTTTATGTCAAGGTACAGCACTAGTATCAATATAGGATGTTAAGAAATTGAAGGATAATCCTGCAACTGCAGATAAGTCACGTCATGACCTACTATATGGCAAAACTTTGTAAAATCAAAAGTCTTATTGTTCTCACTCAGAACTTAGCGTTTTATACCACCCAATAATATTTTTTTTAATAGGTCCAGAAACCCAGATACAAATTATACCACATTCTAAATTTTATTGAAAACCTGTTCTCACGTCTGACATACACGCTGTAAAGTCAGATAATCAAGTATGATTACTGTACCAATAATTCGAAAGAAATGTCAATCCGTTGTCAGTTTTTAAATGGTGTCAGTGTTATTCGCACTCGTCTATTTTTTCTTTCAACTGCAATTTATCGCTGGAAGGTCAGTTTTTGCGAATATCAAAAAATGCCATTTTATCAGAGACAAAAAAAAGACAGGATTGACGTTGAACGATAATTTATATCAAATTTATTAATTATATGAACACCATATAATATTGTAGGTACCTACCCTGCATTTTCTAATAACAAAATTTTTGACCTGTACAATAGCACCCTCGAGGATGGTTCAATTTTTTAACCCAACGACAATCTTCTGGTTTCAAAACTAAAAACCAAACACAAATGATTCTCAGTTTAAGCATCGTATTAGAATCGGAAAAAGATAATAATTATGTCGATGAGTACAACAAATCAATCACTACAAAGCCTAATGTAGAAATCAACTTTTTTTAACTGAAATGTTTCGTCTCCGTACCAGTTAATGTTTGATTAGAATGAAAATAATAAACGATGTGTATAAAAGCACAACCATTACAACCTTATAGTCTTGAAACTGAAATACTAAATCTTAGGTTTGAACCATAAAATATCGAAAATAGTTATGTTTTCAGTTAGGGGGTTTAACAATTTTGGAAATCTTTTTCGTAAAATACGGTTTCCGTTTTTTCTGACCGTATTTCTTGAGATATCCAGTCATTCCTAAGCAAATTTGATCGCTCAATTTTTTCAATCCGATGCACAATTTGCACTTAAGAAAATAAAAACCGTTTCTCTCCAAGATCATAACAGTATCGTTAACATGACGGTATCACCATGCGAAAACTATGCCTCGGACTAAAAAAATTTAAGAGATCAAATCTATTTATAGATGGACACATATTTCATTTTTTGTTTTAAGGAAAGTGGCTTGCGACTGTCTGTTTATATCGAAAAGTGAAGCATATATGAAGCATTCTTCTTTAAATGGACCCTAAAATCGCCCCTTGAATATTGAATATTAGAAAACACCGTATATAGTTATTCAAGATGTAATTAATTTTTGTTAAGATTTCCCCTGCTGTAGCGACACATTAACAACATGTTATAAACGCACCGGATTATTTGCAGTGCGCCTCAAACATTTTTTTTTAATTCTCTAATCCAGCCGGTTCCCACAATCTTCCCATCACTGTCCACCGGCCCCCAAATAGCCTCGCGGGTGATCGCGTTTACATCGTCGTAAATCGGATTACCGCGGCAGAGTCGTTTTGTAGTCAGTGCGATCATCCTGTCTCGCAATCAACGGATGACAATGCACACTCTCGAGTGCGCTCGTGTCATTGCGAATCGGTCACGTGCCGAAAAGCAGGGATGCGCCCATGGGGTGGGAACCAGCAGTGTCATCATATCATTGAAGGCTCATATTACTTTTTTGCATATGCGACGTAGTAATAGAAGCTAAACACACATATTTACTATAATTTAAACGACCCATAGTCATGGATAATATAAGTGTCATTTTTTGGGTGAGAACCGTTTGGTAATGGAGTTTGCATGTTAACTACTGGAGCTTTTTGCAACACACCAGCTGCAGATGTAGAAGTTGTCCTTAACATAACTCTCTTGCACATCTACATGGAAAGCGAGGCAAGAAGGACACTTATAGGCTACATCATGTGGCGAATGGTATGATGGACAATATCAATATGGCGGAGACGGACTAGAGGTGTGTGCCAGAATAATCGCAGAACTACAATTGAGGCACATGATAGTCAAGCCGCGCTTCAAGCACTTGACTCCACCTATTCAGCTTCAAAATTAGTGTGGAATTGTAAAGACGAAATAAGGTCCGTCTCTTATGGATATCAGGACAAACAGGTATGCAGGGAAACGAGACAGCCGACACTCTGGCAAAGGGCACATCCTTCGTAGGGCCTGAGCCAGTGGTCGGGATCGCGTACAAGTCGGCGAAACAAATAATATCTGCAGAGTTGGAAGGAAAGATCCACCAACAATGGAAGGGATCAAGATGGTTAACCGATGCTAAGACAACAATACTGCCCTACTTACAAAAGCCCCCGTATCTCCATGATTTATGCTACATATTTAGATAGAGAAAATCCCATATTTTACATTTTTAAATGTTTCACGAAAGAAAATAGTTTCCCCGTAAACGCCAAAAATTGCATTTACACTCAGTTTAAACCCCGCATTTTTTAAAAAGGCCCTGGTATGTACTCAGTAGATACGGGCTTTTAACTAAGGGAAATCATCGGCGATCTCCATGCCAGGTCTTCTCTAAGCATTTTGCCGCGTAAATCGTCACTTTATTGATTGCTTTCGACTTGTCGGCATGTTTATTATAAATTGAATCCCTCTACATTTTTTTATTACATCAGTTACAAATTGTTACTTTCTAGGTTAATGTTATTTTTAAATAAATACATGTGCTTTTTTGAATAAGTTATATTCGTAATAATAAATAATACGATAAAAAAATTTAAAATGATTGTCTCTGGGCGCAGATATGTATTTTTATCATAATTACAGAGTTAAAACCAAACATAAGCCGAATTCGAATTATACGTGGTTTTGATTAATTAATTATTCTTAACATAATGCGCTGCTTTCTTCGCCCGTATATCGCATAAGTAACTATGCCCTACTTTCGCACAAATTTTTCTTAAAAATGATTTCTATGATATTATGAATTATATGACGAATGATCTTATTTTATTAGTCAAGTAAAAGTAGGTACAATATAAACGGCAAAAATATTAAGCCGCAGTTTTCTCAAAACTTGTTCAAGTGGGGACACGGGGGTCTTTCCTGATAGGGCAGAATACCAATCCTAATAAAAAAGGCTATACGCTCATTGCTGCTGCCAAACAGGAATAGTCTTAAAGCTGTACTGAGACTGTATTCTGGTCATTGGAAATTGCGTCACCATATGAGCAGGCTGGACATGACAGAATTCGCTCAGTGCAAACTGTGCATGGAATGAGACGAAGCAGTTAAGCATGTTTTATGCAGATGACTAGCAATTGCCAGAGTCAGGTACAATCACTTCGGTGGACCTGAAGTATGTTTCTCCAAATAAGTTGATCAACTTCTTCAATAGATCGGAATTACTGGAAGAAGTATAAATAGGTGGGAACCACAATAGACCAGTGATTCGCAGTGGCGGATCCTGATTGATCCACTCACTAAAAAGAGTATCTGAGGTTGAACAAGCATCACGTGACAGGATTCGCGGACACGATGCTCGATCCATTCTGTCTTTAAAAGTGGGCCTTGTAGAACCTGTTTCCATCGATCTACATATTCTAGAGTTTGTCTATGTTCTTCCTACTAACACAGTTACGTTAGTTCAAAAGATACTAAGATGATGAGCCTTCTGTAGATAATCTGCTGTTTATGACTGAGCATCTCTAGGCTCATCAGCCAATGCAACCAGCATGCTTTTTTCTCCTGGATAGCTCTTTGACTCATCTTCAATTATTCTGTTAGCCTAGAATCTGTATTTTAATAGCTTCAAGATAAACAATACTATATATATATATAAAATGTTATTATCTAAAACTAACACTATTTTCTACATAAATTCTCAATTGTATTTTGAATTTGACAAAATTTGTAGATTTGATTTCAGCTGGTAAACTATTAAAATATATAAGGCCTTTATGAAATAAACTATTTTGCGCAAAAGCAGACCCCACAGCAGGAACATAAAAATCAAATCTATTCCTTGTATTATAACTATGAATATCACAGACAAATTGCAAACCTTCCAATATGTGTTCGGGATACATTTAATTCTTTTTTTTGTCAAGTTGATGTTAAAATCGCCAATCATTATCAGTTTCCTCAAACTTCTGCAGAAATTCATTATCCTTTGCATTTGGGGAATGATATACACATAAAATGTTGTATTTTTTATTATCTATAGATAAATTTACTATAATCATCCATAGGTTTCTCTCCATTACACAGTTATGTATCATTTTAAAATGTAAGTCTTCTTTAATAT